CTGAAGTCTTATAGATGACTAGTTTTTTTTACTTACCAATTTTTTACACGGAGTTCGACGAAGTGTTTTTGTTGGGTATTATTTATATAAATTTATTTTATCATGGTAATCGGTTTCGTTACGCGATCTTTTGCCTTGAATTATCAGTGCACTTGCGTTGAGCGCTTCCAGTCTCAACGCGCATTGTTTGCGGTGTGCACCAACGTGTTTTACGTATTACGTTCACGTAGTAACAATGAACAGTAATAGCGACACACGAAACGATGTGAAACGTTTGTAATATTATCGCCAAAACTATAACATAACATTACAATAGTACGTAATCTCGGATGTTGACAGTTGTAAACGAACGGCGTTTGATCGAACCGTTCGATCTCTATAAACGTCATAATACTCATTACGACGATATGGGACAGTGGGACCCAGGTTTGAAGTATTTTGGGACGGATGTTGATAAGATGGCCAAGCAAAAGACAAGAGGTGAACCGTTACGACCTATGCAAAAAACAAAGTTCGAATACGTGGGCCACGGGTTCCCACAGCAATCCGTTTAACGCAGTGGTTCTCAACCGGTGTGGCGCGGCACACAACTGTGTCGCGAGATCGACTAGGCATGCCGTGAAAAATGTCTGATATTTGAAAATACCGATTGATGAAACTATGACAGCTAAATATCAATTAATTTTGCAGATAAGACGATACATATATAGGTAAACTGTACGGTTCTAACCCAATTGGATATCTTATATATTATCGATAATATTATTATTTATATGTGGCGGCTCGTGTGCTTTGAAAGTGAGAGGGCAATATAAAATTGCTTATTTATGTATTGAACACATATATTATTAATAATAGTTATTTAATTAAATCCATTTAATACATATAAATTATTATATATTATATTTTAAATTATCAAAACTTTTTTTTGGAAAAATAAAAATACAAACTGAAAATTACAAAATTAAAAAAAAAAAAATATTTATAAGACTTTATACTTAAAATCTAAACGTCTATCTTTTGTTTCGCTAAACATATCAATCACTTTTTTATTAAAATTAGCGTCATTTGAAATCATTTTATTTTCAATATTCATCATTGTTAGAGCGTTTAACCTTTCTTCTCCCATTGTGCTTCGTAAACATGTTTTTATACGTTTCAGCGTTGAAAAACATCTTTCTGCTTCGGAAGATGTCATAGGAATTGTAATTAATTTTTTTAATAGAGTAAGAATTTCTCGAAAAGTTTCATTCATATCATAGCGTTGGAATTACACTATTTAAAGTTCGGAAGTCATCTCAAAAATACATAACTTCTAGTTCAGTCTTCAACCTTTTGGTACCAAAAAACGTCTAGCATTCAATCGTGCATTGAAAATATTGTAATGGAAATGTTTTAGAATATTCTAAATATTTTTCAGCTTTAAATAAGTTAGCGGCGGTTAAGTGTTTAGTAAATTCTAAACGATCTTTAGCTTTGACAATTATTGTATCGCAGACCTCAAGTACAGCATTTTTTCGCGATATATTCATGGTTTCATGTGATTCCAAACGTGATTTTTTTATATTTATATTAGGCATATTTGAAGCACTTTCAATAATATCAGTTACATTATTTCTTATTTTAGATATTTCGTTTTTAAATTTTTCGACTGAACTATTTATTTATACCGGATCAGTATTAACGGCTTGAACATTGTTATATAAACAGTCTACATGTGGCATTATTCTATGAAAAATAGATAACCAGAATACAAATATTGAATCACCTAATAAAAGTTTTATTGACCCAGCTTGATTAATATTCAAAGTTTGTTTGGAAGATTTTATTATTTTGTCCATGCACTCCGTTATTTCATCTCTATTCTTATAAACAATGTTAACCGTACGTATATTGAAATTCTATTGAGTTTGTACTGCCCGTGGTAATCTAACGCCAACTAATTTATCCAATACGGCTACTCTTTGCGGTGAATTTGAAAAAAATATTGGTATTTCTGATAAATTTGAAAAAAATATCCGAACTTCTTTATTTTGAGATACTGATTGTGTCATAATTAAGTTTAACTGGTGTGCATAGCAATGAATGTAATACGCATATGGATATAGTTCCTTAACCCTAACATTAACTCCACTCTTTTATCCACTCATGACTGCCGCGCCATCATATGATTGTGCTATTAGTTTATTCGGAGTATTTTTTAAATTAGGATTTATTTCAAATAATATTGTTGATGTTAATGATTCTGCATTGTGTCTATCAGGATTTAAAAACCCCTAAAAATGTTCTACTGGTTGACCTTTAAGTTCATAGCGAAATACAATAACTAACTGAAACATATTAGAAATGTCAGTAGTCTCATCAACGATTATAGAAACAAATTGAACAGTTTCTATTTCTAATAAAATTGGTTTTCTTGTTACAAGTAGTATACAATCTAACAAATCATTCTGTATTGTTTTAGATGTCCCTTTAAACACTTTTGAATTTTCAAAATGACTACGCAAACTTACATCTAAGTCTTTACATAACTCAATAACACCGAGAAAAACACCTTTATTATTAGAGTTAATTTTTTCATTGTGACCTCTTAATGGTAAATTATGTTGTCCACAAAATTTTATACAGTTCAGAATTTTTTCTAATATATAACGATTTTTTATCTATTTCTTCATTATGACGTTGAATCCTAATTTTATAGCCTGAGTCAATTTTATCGAAAATATTGATAGTGCCGAGTACTGTAAGATTAGCTTCATTTTGTAAGTGTTTAAAAGAATTCTCGTGTTTTTTAATTTTTTCAGATAAATGATCCAAATGTGTTACACCTGTTTTAGTCCAAGAAATGTCAATATACCAAAACATAAACAAGGAAAACAATAAACAGCTAGTTTTATATCACAACCACATAACCACTTGTGTTTTGCATAATAATCCGTATTAAAATGCCGAATATATTCATTTTTACCTTTTTTCGTTTTATTGATCAATCTCTTCAATACAGGTCTTACAAGCTGTTTTATTTCAATTTTTTGTTCATAAGTATATGACATAAAAGGTTTTGAAATTAAATTAATTGCTCCATTTTTAATTGGGTGAATCCATAATGTAAAAAAAATAATTCTAATGTATATGACCGCACTAAGTAAATGATAAACACACGCAAGTTCGGAATCCCGTGTATATCGGGGGATTAAAATCATCGCCCCGGCGGCAGCGTTATTGCTATGTCACCCCTTCTTAGTTTTTGTATTCCAATCATGCTTATGAAGAGCGACTTTTAATATTATATTATAATTTATACTGGGTATCAAAAATGTATGTTAATTAACAATTCATTTAACCAGTGCTCGACTTGGCAAAATTAAAGAAAGGGGACTTTATTTACTTTAAAAAAATAACGTCCCCAAAACTAGCTAAGCGTTATGATTATAGCGTAATAATAGTAAGGGGACGCTAAAATTTCTGAAAATTAGTTAGGGTACTCCGTTCCCCTGCGTCCCCCCACAAGTCGAGCACTGCATTTAACACAAATTATTAGATCAGTAATGTACCGATTTGTATCTTCGCTTGGGAGGAATAAAATATATCTATGTTATTATTTAGTTTATTACTGGAGACTAATGCGATATTGTTAAATGATAAATAGAATTAAGTTTTGATGTAAAAATGGTTAGCTAATTCTAGCCTTTCTAGAATTAATTGAAGAAACAGATATATAAATTAGGCTAGAGAAGAAATTATCTCTGATTGATACATTTAAAATTTGAAAAATTAAATGCTTGTACATACGTCTAAAACTTAAGGTGTTGATATTTATCAAACACCTAAAAGATTCATAGTTGAGGTAAATGTACAACTATTGGTGAGTTTTGAATTATTTGTTTCGAATGCAATCAATTTTATTATTCTATCACAATCGATACAGATTCTATAAAATGTACATTTCCTTTCCTCAAATACTGACATTAAAATGTACATTTTTTTAAAAATTAATTCGCATTAAAAAAATAAATAAAAATATTTTCAACTATACAAAAAAGTTTTTCGGAATAGTTACTGCACCCATTCATCTCAACTGCTCTTCTAATTCACTGCAATGGAGCTACCCACTTCCCAGTGCTGTTTTTTGAGCACAGCTTTTTCCTTGATGGTTATGACTCCACCTGCTAATTGAGCAACCACTCTCCAGTTCACCATGTTATTCAGCATTAGGGTAAACGATCACCCCATCTGGGTCGAAAGGCCCAATTACTTGGATGAGGCGATCCTATAAAGTCGGATACTTTTATCTGTGTGAATTACAATGAAATAGTAAATTTCAACTTGCCGCAATTAAAATAATTTAAACATAATTCAATGATATGTTTATATTTACATTCTCCTTGGATAATTTTCCGTTATACATCTTATCAAATATTAATTTTTAAATCTTGTTCTTAATTCCTATAATCACTCAAATCCCAATATTAAAACAATACAATTTCACCAATATGTAATAGCGTATTAACAAATTATTTAATAATTTAATTAAGTTTATCAAAAGCTACATTTTCTTGTTTTGTTTTTCAATTTCTAATTTTTATTGAAAGTTAGATTTAGATTGTTTTTTTCCTTATAGACTATGAAGAATACTTTGCACGTGGAAGTTCTTCTAAAAACTGAAAAGTATGTATATATATATATTTTATTATTTTCTTAAACTGTGTATCACACGTGTATTTAAAATTAATACTTAATTTAAGCTTCTGCATCATTGTTAAAAATATGAGGCTGATATTAATATAATACATGATCAATTTAGTGAAATATAGAATATTTGAAAAAATTATATGAACATTTAAATTCTCGGATTTAAGACAGTGGCAATGTTATTAATTCATATTTTTTTTATACTTAACTAAAGCTTATAAATTGATTTAAACATTATTTGAAGTACTTATTTTTAATGAAATTTGTTATTAAGTATTTTATGGCTTTAATATTATATTATGCAAGGTGAATATAATTTATTTAATATTAAGTTACTAATTTTTGTAATTATGTCAATATTTGAATGAATATTTTCAAGTTTGATTTTCTGTACTCTGTACAGTACACTACTTTATACTTAACCTATTAGGTTTTTACTTTTATAGCCTACCAAGTATACTGATAAATCTATAATATGTTATACATAGAGCTGTTGATATTTCTGAGTTGGAAGAATCCATTAATCTTGAACTAAAAAAAATAAAACCAATTATCCCAGAATCTACACATACTACTTTCATTACTGATGGATTAGCAGATTGTATAAAATCCATACAAATTTGTGAAGTTGAAAATTTACAAGAAGATGATAATCATGAACGAATGATAAATTATGAGGTATAATTATTGTTCTTGAATGTATAATTTGAAATTTATTATAATAGAAATTCGTTTTTAGCTACCAGAAGGTAAATCATTAGACCTAGATGCATATACAGTTCAAATTTACTTTTACAAACTAGATGATAGTGGTTTAGTAGATGATGATACTACTGATGAATCCACATGTAAAATGAGACGATGTATATTACCTAATGTTGATTTTTGTGGTATTTGGGATTCATTGGTTTATCAAGAGCCAGTCAAAGAAATTGTAAATATATTTTGCATACAATTTATTAAATTATTTTTCTTAAATATACTATTTTACTTTGTATTTTAGCTTTTAAATTATGCACAGACTGGAATGAATTTCGCACGTCATAATGTCAATACTAATATTATTAGTTACAATAGATTAATTTTATTACATGGTCTACCAGGTACTGGAAAGACATCAATTTGTAAGGCACTTGCACAAAAGTTATCAATTCGATTAAGCAAGCAATACAGTTTCTTTGAATTTATTGAAATAAATAGTCATAATTTGTTGTCCAAATATTTTTCTGAAGTAAGAATTCAAATTATGATCTACAAATAAATATTTAAAAATGAATAGTTAAATTATTGTTATTACAGAGCGGTTCATTAGTTATGTCTATGTTTCAACAAATAAAAAATGTGTTGGAATATGGTGATTCATTGGTATTTATATTAATTGATGAAGTAGAGAGTTTAACAAGAGCTCGAGATGCTGTATTATCTGGCACTGAGCCATCAGATTCTATAAGAGTTGTAAATGCTGTACTTACACAATTGGATAATTTGAGAAAGTATAAACATAAATTTTATTCCAGTTTAATAATGTTTAAAAATCCTAATTAAATTATTGATGTAATATGTATGTATTGTAATCTTTATTGGTATCATATGAAGGTATCCAAATGTCATATTTTTGACAACATCTAATGTAACAGAAGCCATAGATTCTGCATTCACTGACAGAGCTGACATAAAGATGCTCATCAATCCTCCACAAGAAATGGCCATATATACTATACTTAAAGCAGCTATTGAAGAACTTATTAAAGTAAATAATAAATAGAATATTCTATATACCTGTATTGTACTTCAATAAATAATAGTTGTTATTTTTTTATTTTTAGGTAGGATTGATTATTAATGTGGAAAAAAATGATAAATTTGATCGTCTTCCAAATAGTAATGCTGAAGAAATTGAAGACAAAAGTACAACTCAAAAATTATATGAAATTTCTAAGTAAAAGTTGAAATATATTTTTTAAATAAGTAAATATTGTTAACATGATGTTTAATTTTACAGAGAAAGTGTTGGTTTAAGTGGACGAGTTTTAAAAAAAATAACTTTTATAGCTCATTCTATATTTATCAGGAAACCACAGTGTGATGGGGTTCATCAATTTTTGTGTGCATTACAAAAAGCAATAAAGTATCAAAAAACACAAGATGCTGGCATTAATAAAGTAAAATAATCATGATTTAACATGAGGTATATACACAATCAACATTCATGTTTAATTATTATTAAAAAAGTTGATAATAGTTTTTTTATACAATTGTAAAATACAAATTTATTGTATGATTATTATTATATATTCTATTTATGATTGATAATAAGATTTTTTTTTTTTTAATAAAAAAAAAAAATACAATAAAAACATATTTCTATCTTAAGACTAAAATTGTATATATCATTGTTGTTAACATTTTCTTGATCAAATTAGTGTACAGTGGACTCTCAATAATCCAACAGATATCAGACCAGAGGACTGTCAAATTAATGGAATTTCACATTAAAACGCATCTTTACTTATTGAAAAACCTTAATTTGATTAAAGCTTATAAATAATACATATGTACATATGTAATAATATATGACATACGTGAGTTAATCTTTTGTTGGTAAATTTTAAAAAACATACATACATTTATTTATTTTTTTTTGTTTTTGTTTTAAATTATGTTTTTAAGATAAAACGTTAGATAAAATGCTGCCAGATTACTGGACATACCGGATTATTACCGAGTTTACGGTATTTGTAATTTCTAGTCAGTCAAATGGATTGTGTTAAATGCATGGGTATATCACTCAAGTTTTCACTACAATCGTATTTTTTTAATGATAGATTATAAGAAAAAAAGTTAATAATTAGCTTAGAAATTAGCAGTATATTAATATAATTTTTATTCATTTTTTGGTAATGTTTCAGCATTAATTCTACTCTAAAATAATTTTTTTCACTGAAAAATTAAACTTTTAAATTTTATTGTTTGAAAATTTTTTAGAAGGCAAAGTAATTTTATCTATAATCATAAATTTATGTTTGTCAGTTAATAACTATTTTCATAAACATTTATAATTATGAAAATTATTCAAAATATTCTTTATATTTCTAGTAAATTAATTGCTCTTTAGTCTATAACCTTGGGTTGGTCAACATAATAGTTTATATAACATATAAACTAACATATTACCTATTATACGGCTTACAACTATGGGAAGCAGCCAAAAAGTCAAATACCATCAAAATTCAAGCATTCCAAAATATTTCACTCCACAAATTATCCATTTTTTGTCTCGAATCATACTCTTCATATCAAAACAATAAATGAAGAAGCAAAAACCTTCTACAATAGATTTCATCTCAAAGCTCACTGCACAATATGACAATTTATGGATTTCCAAATTGATCTCAGTAGTACCATCATCAAGACCTTCTACCTCTACAGACGATTTAATTTCTTGTGAAAAAACATTGGACCTATATCCCCCAACTGCTAAAGATACTTGTCATATTTCCTGCGTCAATTGGATTTTCTGAACGCATTTTTTTCAACCCTGCAAAGGTTAAAAACATATTTGAGAAACTCAACTTCAGAGAATCATCTTGGTTTAGCATTAAATAGTCATGGAAATATTTTTATAACTGATGATATGGTCTAAGACAAGTTTACTAATAGTGGACGAGCAAAACGTTTAAAACTTATTATTTGGTATAGTTAATAAATTGTATAGATTGTAATACATTTAAATCGTTAAATTTTATTTTTGTTTTACTATATGACTATGTTTGTAGATTTTGAACCGGTGTTAAGGTTTTTAAAACTTATAATATGTATAGCAATAACTTTTGAATCCTATAATATAAACAGAGTTTAAATATAATAAAGAAATACAACTAAAATAGTACACATTTTTATTTATAAAATGTATTTAAACAAAAATGATATCTGTTAAAAATTTAATCATCCATAGTCTTCACTAAACCAAGCATTCGTTCATAATCTATTGGTCTTCTAAATCTTTCTTTTAAAATTATTGATTTGTATCCAGCAATTCTATAATAATCTTTATGCCAAGGAATAATAAAATTTTTGCTATTAGGCAATTTAATAGCCTTTTCAAATGAACAATTTACATTTTTCCATGGTAAAACTGGATTTATGTATACACTGATGTACTGTTCTCTGACATTATGTCTATAAATTCTCAACACATATTTAGAAATAAAACTGTATGAAGCCATTTTCATTAAGAATATTGAAGGTACCATGAATGCAAGTTCTAATCCTGAATTAGGAATAAACATTAAATCTAAATAAGTTCTCAAATCAATTCTCTCTGTTGTAAACATTGTATACATATAGGTAAAAATGAAAACCGATGGTACAAATACCATTGCAAATACTACTATTCCACTCAACCAACGAACATATACTTCACCCGTGCCCTGGTAAATAAGCACATATTCTGTAGGTGAAACACCATCTTTTGCAGCTTTTTTGTTGTACATATCGTAAATAGGTTTTAAACCCATCTTCTTCATAAAACATCGATTGGACACAACTTGCACGGGTAACTTATTAGAAGACAGCAACGTGTGATGTTTGTTGTGAATAACTGAAGCTCGGTCGCACATTGTATGCGACCTTTTTACTGAATTAATTATTGAAGAATTTATTTTAACTCGTAAACAATTTAAAATATTCATTTTGCTGTTTGAAAGACGCACTCAATATAGTTCTGATATGCAACGTGGGTAAAAAGAAAATTGTATATCAGGTTGAAAACAGAATAGTATTAATATTGAAAATACTTATTTTACAGTAAAATATTGTAATTCTACATAGGAATTGACCGTCTTACCGATAGTTGGCATTTGGTCAAATAACGTGTGTAGCCGAGAACTAGTGTAGAGTCACAGAATAGGTTAAATCAGCGGTTCCCAAACTGTGAACCGCGGTGCCCTAGGGGCACCACGCGCACTTTCTAAGGGCTCCGTGGTCTACGGTTCATAACAAATAGTTTAAAATGTTTAGATTTTTTTTCCCTTATTGTTTTCGTAAAAACTTTATTGCAAATAATAAAATACTTTCTATTGCATATTCGGATATTCTCATTTAAACCTTATAATATTTTTATGTAATAATTATAATAATGATAACAATAATTTTTATTTATTTAATTGTTAAGTTTAAAAATTCATTAATTTATAATTAATTAAGTTAAATTTTAATAAAATTAATAAAATTAGTTACAATGAGTATTTTTTTTTATCCTGTGTTTCATGTTGTTCACAGGTAGGGCATCGTGGTTAAATTGAGTAAAAAAAAAGTTTGAGAACCCCTGGATTAAATTAATCTATTTTATGGTAGAGTTAAGAATTCGATTTCATGTGATAACATTATCAATCACTATCACGATTTATGCCAATCCCGTTTTGTCCATTTCAAATGTTCGTGCATCGACGGCCTTTTAATAAGTAATTTAAAATAATTACGTTATTACGTTCTTCGACGAGTCTTCTGGTGTTAATTCGGTTTCAATATAATATAAAAAATTCATATACAAAGGATACAAGGGTTATACTCCTGCCCCACGATGAACATTGATGAGTGAGTTTGAACCTTGGGCATATAAATTTAATTTTCTGATTTGGACGTCAAATATTTCCTCACAACCGGACAATTCTGAAATACACGTTAACGTCATAAACAAGTGTTTCTGTTAAGAATTAGAATATACGTGCAATCTTTTGAAATTAATTTTTTCATGGTGTAATGTTTTTAATACCTACCTATCCCAATAATCTAATTTTAAATTACTTATTTATTTAAAAAACGGCAGATTCGATAATCCTACAGATATCAGACTAGAGGACTGTCGGATTAACAAAAATGGTGGATTAAAGGATTTCATTTATTAAAAAACCTTTATTTATTTTATTAAAATATAAATCGTACATACTAATTTATTATATATTGTGAATTAATGTTTTGTTAAGTAGATTTAATAAAATTGTCAATTTATTGTTGTTTTTTTATTTCAAATGATAATAATTCAAATGACTTAAGTACCTGAAACATTGTTTTCATCTACTCTTTTTTTTTTGCCTGTGTAATGGATCTTAGTAAGGAATGTATTGCAGCAGAGTGAGTTATTTTTTGAAAAGCTACTGTTTCTCCTCCTTTATCATCATCATTCCCACCATTATATTTTTATTTGGCAATAAATTCCTTGAAAAAATAGACCAAATTACTGAAAACCACATTACTGGACATCGTGGCTATATATATATATATATTATATATTATATATTATCTATAGCTGAACTGGACCTACCAGAGTATCAAATCGCTGAATTACCGAGTATCTATTGTTTATTTTACTTTTAAATTTAAATTTTTGTAAAAGATTAAGAAATTAAATTTTTTTTTTGTATTATACAATTTATCTCAATTAATAATTTACCTATATTTTAAAATTTCTCTCATTGCTATTAAGTCACTTTATGAATATTCATACACTAAACCCATATAAATAATTGTGATTGTACTCTATTAGAATGTGATTATTTTTAGATGTAATTATTTTAAATTTTTAGAATTTGTCATAGGACTTAAATTTTCTGACAATATTAAAATTTACACAAAATTATACTAAGAAAATATTTTTGTCACATCAGATTTATTCAAAATGTACATATGTATTATAAAATAATAGTGTTCAAGTATTTATTAATATTTTATTATTCTTGTAGTTTATTTTTGGATCCGCAATACAAGCTTTTAAAAAAGTTGAATTTATCGAATTATCAAGAAACTGGTGAAAATTGCCAGAAGTGTCATGTAGATGAAGTTGATAAATTATTATCTCTCAAAAGGATTTTATTAAAACAACTACGTTATGAAAGATGGTAAATTTTGTAATATTTACACTTGTATTTAAAAACAGTTCACATTATTCTATTATATTTTATTATTATATGTAAATTATTTTATTGAATGAGTACTTATATCAAATATTTTACTTGGTTAGGAAGTGAATTCAGTAAAATTATGTTACAACAATTTTGTATTTATTATTTTAGTTATCAATCAAAGTATATCAATTTAAATAATACTTCTAAAATGTTGTTTTTAGCATTTATATTATTAATTAATTTTAACTATGTCAAACTTTCATGTAGTAATATTTTAAACATTATTATTAAGTTTTATTTTTTCATAGTGTTTCCCTATCTGAAGCTGAATGGGATGAAGATTTAAAGCTGGCAAAAGTCACCAAAATTGCAAAAAATCTTACAAAAAATTATTCACATTCTTATAAAGGGTCAATATATTTATACCCAGAAGAATGTTTATGTTTACTGGAAATGGTAATTATTTAAGTCTAATTAAAAATATCAAAAACATACTTAGATTTTTTAAGGGTATTATTTTTTTAAAGTTAACTACTTGTTTTGTAAATAGTCTTATATTAAATAATAAATAATGTTACTTTCATTTATTTGTTCATATTTTTAAAACATGTTGTCACTTGTATACATGTATATTTTATTAAATTAAAAATATAAAATTTCCATTTTTTTAAAATATAATAACAAACTTTCTTTTACATTTCAAAATTTGTTCTACTAATTTTTTTAGTTTATGATTATTACCTATATGGATATACATTTATTAAATTACTTTTAATTTATTGTTTTATTGATACTTTTTCATAGCTATTTTTCAATAAATTCAATCAAGTGTGTATGAAAAAAAAAAAATCTCCTTGAAATTAGTTAAGGATAATCATGTATTATGTATTTAAATAGATGATTTTTTGCAGAAATGTTTAATACTAAGATGGAATGAAAGAAAATTATCAATTAAAAATGCATATGCTTTATTGCTGCAGGCAGGAAGTGGTTGTACTTTTGAACAATTCAGAACCTATGGTTATTTGGTGAAGTTAGGATTTCGTGTATTTAAATATAATAATGAACTAAAAAACAATAATTACCATAAAAATGATTTAACCAAAGTACCTGAAATTCCATATAAAAAAAAAAAAGATCATGTAAAAAAAATTAGAAAATTTGACAGTCTAATATGTACTCCTAATAATAGAGAATCTTTTCCAAAACTTAAATCTACCGGTTGGGTGGTAATATCAAGACCAGAATCATGTTATTTGCCTCATAATATACTACCGAATTACGATACTTATTCTTTCAATATAGCTGTGAGTTCCAACTCTATTAAAATTATTAAAGTTGTTCCTTATTATGAAAATATGAATTTAAAAAAAAAAAAAAAATTCCCAAAAGAAAGTATGATATATGATTCATTTTTACTGACTGGAAACCATCCAATATATGAAAAAAATATTCTTAAAACAGTCAAGTTTGATGATACTATGTATATACCACAAATTAAGAAATTGAAACTAAATAGTTTACCAATTACTATTAATATGTCGTCATCCAGTTTGAGCGAAGAAAGAAATTTGCATCCATCAAAATATGAAGAAAAAATGAAAATCGAAGAAAATAGTTTAACAATAATAAATAATACAGCAACAGTTGCATTGACTAGTAACAATAACTTTTACCCATCAAATATTGATGAAAAAATGGAAATTGATAAAAATTATTTTCCTGATTGTATTAATATGATAGCTTCTACACTGAACAATGAAAATAACTTGTGTAATATTACCCTTAAAGAAAGTCATTCAGTGAATATAAACCAAAAAGATTTAAAAGATGAAGTTACTGAAGCAAATTCAACCTTTAATCTTAATTTCAGTAGTACAGTAAAAAGTATTTCAAGTAATAAATTAGAACCTACATCGTCCGATACTATTCTTGAAGATGAAACGATTAATAAGCTGTTAAACCTACCAAGTACCTAATATTAATTAAATAATCTATGGTTAGGTTTTACTTAATTGTATTTACCTTATTAATTAAAATATATTTGTCACCTAGGTATAAATATTAAACAAATTGTTTTTCCATTTAGGTCATATTAAACAGAAACTATATGCGATTAAACCATCTCATGATCTTAATAAACCAATTGAAAAAATTGAAAATGTGATTTATGATGTTTATTATCCTGATAATGATGTTCCAAAAAAATCAAGACCTGCACCAGACTATAGAGTTATTGTTATTGAGTATGAAAATTCAAATTATATCATATTAATTATACATATAACATATATAATATAAACATGTACATATTCTATGTCATATTTTTGTTACTAATTTTTTTTTTTTTCTATAATTTTTTTTAGAAATGATGACACCTTTCCAAATATATACAATGTCAATACTTTTAGTCCTAATGATAATGTATCTACATTATGGGCTATTGTTAATTCAAGCTCTGTATCTTTTTATAATGTTAATAATATAATATTGCCAAAATCTACAGATTGGGAAATAAAAACCAATGATGATTAATTTTTATTCAAGTTCTTCCATTTTTAATTAATTTATAATGTTTATCAATTGTTGTAAATTATTTAACTACAAATGTATATATATCTAAAAGTTAAGGGCTAAAAATTGATGTTATGTTATTAATTTTAATAATATTTATTCATTGTTTTTTGTTGAAAATTGAGATAATACAGAAAAATTATTTTAATAATATTTGCTTTTAGTTATTTATTTTTACTACTAAGGTTTTTGTAATTTCTTTCAAATTTTTGAAAGTGGATTGTTTTGAGTTGATGGTAAAACCTAGTAATGCTGTGAGGAAACCAATAATGCCGGCAGAAAAATTAGCAGGAACATCTAGGTTGGTACATAATTCCTTAATTTTTTTGGTTATAAATAGGTATTTATAGATTTGTAATTTAGTTATATTGATTTTTAAATAGAAGATACCTTGCTACTGGTGAGTCTTTAAGATCGCTAGCATTCGCATTTCGAGTAAGCCATTGTTACTTGAGTATTATAATAAAAAGTACGCTGGCGTGGTTAAGAACTAAATTGGTGCCAATTTTTTTAAAAGACACCAACACCATTGACTTTAAACAAAAAGGCAGAAGAATTTACTTATAAATGGAATTTTCCTAATTGTAACTCAGCTATTGACGGAAAACATATTCGTATCCGATGTCCGGGTAACTGAGAGATTTTTTTCCATAATTCTTCTGGCGATGGTGGATGCCAACTAAAAATTTGTTGCTTTTGATATCGGATCCTTTGAAAAAGAAGGAGACAGTGGAATATTTTTAAAATCAAACATTGGGCAACAAGTTTTAAATGGCTCATTCAGATTTCCATAGCCTAGTAAACTTCCTGGATCAGATAAAACAGTACCTTATGTAAAAGTAGGTGATGAAGCTTTTCGTCTACACAAACATATTCAAGGCCGACGTCAAACAATTTTGTTGGAGGGGGGGGGGGGGGTTGAGATCAAGTATTACCGACTGAAATTTAATTTATGCTGACTCATAATTTCTAAAAAAAAACTACGTGAAGTATAAAAATTCCTGGTTTTGCTGTGTTAAGGTGAAGTAAAATAGTTAAAACAAAAACAAAATATAGAACTAAAACATTTTAAACCATTTTATGCATAGTTAAAATATTTGTTACTTGTATTTCATACAGATGTAAAGATACAAGGCTGTCAAAAATATTTTAAGATCTAAAAAATAAGTTGTGTACAATTATAAATCAATCAGTGTTTGTCAATAACTCAAAAAATTAAGTAAATAATAAGGATTTTTTTTAATTTATCGGACGGCTGATGGCAATACATCATATTTAACAAAAAATATTACCAGTTTACCTGAAGTATAAAATATAAATATTGTATTTCACATTTATTTATTATGTGTCATAAACAAATTTAATAATTAATATTTTGTACAAAAAACGTTTATTACACTGCCATGTTACACGTGTAATTACTTATTAATGAATTAACTTATTATAAATTGAAAATGTAAAAGCTAATAAAATAAAAAAAACATTCATAACAATTAAATAGTCATAAATAATTAAATAAAATATAAATAATCATACATATTATTAACTCATAAAAATAAATAAATATTTACTTATTTAAAATACCTACTTCCAACAAAATGTATACAATTATACGGCGTTCTTTTAAAGTTGCACAATTTTTTATCATTGCACTCATGTTTATATTGTCGAGTATATCTTTAGAAATGTTGAGTATAAGTAAGTTGTTCAAACGCTATCAGTCATGGTTGTTCTTAAATGATTTTTTATCAACTTAAGAACACTAAATACCCTTTCATTAGACGCAGCAGAAACTGATGATGTGAATGCAAGTCTACATAAATAATTAGATGTTGGTATAACATCTTTTAGTTTATAACTTATATATATATAATTTCATTTAGTGTTTTACGAGCATCTGTTTTTTGTCTCAATATATTAACTTCACACAAACTTCAATCAAAATCGCTTACTTTTGACATATCAGCATAGGCGTCACTAAGGGATATCGAGGGGTATCTATGCTACCCCAAACATTTTTTTGGTGTAGCAAGAGTATCTTTTTGCTACACCAAAAAAAGTCATAGATTTTAAAAATATATTCGATGTTTATTATTCATGTATGTACATAGACTATATTATTGTGATTGTATCCAAAATAATTATATTTTGTGGTAAGTCCAATACGGACGATAAGGCAGTGTATACACTAAACGTCATTCCGAGATTTACGTAGAAGAGGTTAGCTAGTTATCATATTAAACCTATAAAAAATTATTTTTTCACTTTTAAAAAATAAATTTTGCTACCCTAAAATGTGGAATCTAGTGACGCCCATGCATATCAGAACTAGGAGGAAATAACGTAAAAGCGTTTTTTATATCTTCAGTTATATATTATAGTATTATAATACGGGTTCATACTCCTTAGCCGACAATATCAATCGGCAGTATTTAGATTTCTAAATCGTTAAATTCTCAACTGCCGACTGCCGGGACCCATTACTATATTAAATATTTTTATTTTTATTTTTTCAAAAAGTATAATTTCCAACGGACAACGGTTCCCTGAAACTGCCGACTAATAATTACAAAAAATTCAACAGGGGGGGGGGTGACGACCCACCATACCACCATTGCCACCGGCCTTGAACATATTATGAAGCCCTACACTAGAAAATAGAGATTTTTTTAAGCCAAATAGTTCAAGTTAAATCCGATCTTTTATAATTGTATTCACGCATGTATCTTGCACACAATAACAGGCGTAACGATGAGCTACAGTTGTTGGTTTTTGGTAGAAAATGCAACACAGTCATCTTTCATAGTAATAACGTAACAATAAACAACGTCCTCGTCGGTCATTATTTATTTGCATTCGAATGTAACGCGAATTTTCAAGAGGTTTCAGAGTTTTCCGTATCATCCTCGCTCGACGACCGTCCGTCCTTACGCTCGATGACCTCGAACATAATCTAAAAATTTGCAAATTAAAATCATATCCATATTAAATGATCACTACATAGACTACGTAAAATATCATCCATCACGATAAGCGATGTGTGAACGCTACTGTTTGCCCACACGTTAGTCCGAAATATGCGAGCTCAGTCTCCCCAAAGATATATATATATATATATATATATATATATATATATATTTTATTATAAATTGATTTTTATTTGAATTCAAATTCGATTCTTCCCTCTTTTTCAGTAAATTTGTTTATAACATCTTCATAAAATTTATTTCTGTTTGCTCTTAATTTGAAAACCAATTCTTTTTCTATTGATATTACATTTAAGCTGTTCATTCTTTCTTGTGTTTGAGTTGAGCGACAATATGTATGGATTCTTTTTAAAGATGAAAATGATCTCTCCACTGAAGCGGTTGATGTTGGTATAGTAGATATTAATTGAGCCAACTTATACACCTCGGAAAATCCACTGTTTAAGCTCATTTCAGAAAGATAATTCATAATTTCAATAGAGCTTTTATCGGATGATTCGTTTAAGGTGTACTATACATGAAGTTCATTTTATAGTTTACCATAGTTGAAAAAATCGCCATAAATATCTTGTAAATTTTTAATTAAATTAAATGGAAAATTATCTTTTTTCGCAATGCATTTAATTTTCGTAGGATTAAGTAAGTTAAAACATTGCAATTTTTCAAACGATTTAAAATGGATATTAATTTGAGATTGTATATTGTCAATAATATCAAAATAAAGACGTCTATAATAATCTTTTTTGTCGGTTTCTATTTGTCTAGCCCTGCGATTGCTTACAAAAAGTTCGTTAGCATTTTCAGTAAATGATGCCCATAAAGTATCAACATTTTCGCTTTCTTGGTATAATTGGTTTTGAAAATCAAGTATTTTTTGACTACAAAATAAAATATAAAAATTTTTTGACTGTAAAATATTGAACAATACGTCAGTAAAAATAAGAAGATTAGATAATATTTGTATAATAAAAATGTTTTTATTTTCTTGAAGGATATTTGCAAATCCTTTTGCTGTCATTCCAATAACATTATCAAAATCACCACTTTCATAAACAAACATAAAAAAATCAACTAATGATGTTCAATGATTATGAATTATATGAACTAATCGTGAAGTAAAGTTCCAACGAGTAGTAGCTAATGTGGGTAACTTTTTGGTCATAAATTCTGAAAGTGCTTTTAGTCTTTTAGGAGAGTGAGAAAAAAATATAGGTAAAGAGTTAAGACCTTGAAAAAAAATTTTAAGTTCCTTATTGCATTCTAATGATTGTTGAAGTATTAAATTAATAACACGCGCATAACAATGAGTAAATATAGCTTTAGGATATTTCTCTAATACTTTACTTTGCAACCCGTTTAAATGGCCAGACATTACTGCTGCCTCGTCATATGTTTGTGCCACTAATTTGTTTTCAATTTTAAATTTTTCAACTACTCGATTAACGTGTTTAAATAAAAAGGTTGCTGTTTTGTCAGCACTCATGTCATCAAATCCAAGAAAACGTTCAACAATTTTGTTTTCGTTTTTTTGAAAAATATCTCAGTACTGTCGATAGTTGTGATTTATTACTAATATCAGTTGTTTCATCAAGCATAATTGCCACGTATTGTGTATTTTGAATTGCATTAAATATCTCATGTTTAATAACATCAGCAATTGAATTTATTAAATCATTTTGTATGGAAACAGAAGTATCTCGAAAAATAGTAGATGTATATAAATGCTCTTGTAATAATGGATCAAATTCTTCGGTGGAAATCAATAACTCCATATAGTTTCCCCTATTTACTGAATATTTGTTTTCATTATGTCCTCTAAAAGATAATTCCTGTTTAGCTAAAAAACATACTGCATTTATTAATCTTTTTAATATTTCTCTATTTTTTGCTGCTTTTTCATTATGTAATTGAATATCTATTTTTCTTTGTTTATCTAATGATGTGTCAATTCTAGCAGTTGATGATGATAAAAATGTCTTAAGTTTAA